TATTATTATTATTAATTTCTACCCCATCTGGCTAGGGACGCGGGTGGCGCTGTGGGTTAAAGCCTCAGCGCCTAGGACTTGCCGATCGAAAGGTCGGAGGTTCGAATCCCCGCGGCGGGGTGCGCTCCCGTTGCTCGGTCCCAGCGCCTGCCAACCTAGCAGTTCGAAAGCACCCCTGGGTGCGAGTAGATAAATAGGGACAGCTTACCAGCGGGAAGGTAAACGGCGTTCCGTGTGCTGCGCTGGCTCGCCAGATGCAGCTTGTCACGCTGGCCACGTGACCCGGAAGTGTCTGCGGACAGCGCTGGCTCCCGGCCTATAGAGTGAGATGGGCGCACAACCCTAGAGTCTGTCAAGACTGGCCCGTACAGGCAGGGGTACCTTACCCCATCTGGCTGGGTTTCCCCAGCCACTCTGGGCAGCTTCCAACAAAAGATTAAAAATACTTTAAAACACCAGACATTAAAAACTTCCCTAAGCAGGGCTGTCTTCAGATGTCTTCTAAAAGTCAGATAGTAGTTTATTTCCTTGACGTCTGATGGTGGGGAGGGGTTCCACAGAGCGGGCGCCACCACCGAGAAGGCCCTCTGCCTGATTGCCTATAACCTCACTTCTCGCAATAAGGGAACCACCAGAAGGCCATCGGTGCTGGACCTCAGTTTCCGGGCAGAACGATGGGGGTGGAGACGCTCCTTCAGGTATACAGGACTGAGACCATTTAGGGCTTTCAAGGTCAGCACCAACACTTTGAATTGTGCTCAGAAACGTACTGGGAGCCAATGCAGCTCTTTCAGGACCAGTGTTGTATGGTCTCGGCGGCTGAGACAGTCACTTTGTCATTTGGGTTTTTGTTAAAAATAACCTTTTTTAGTTCTCAAGGTTGCAGTTCTAAGCATGCCATACTAGGAGAAAGAAGTTCCACAGACTTTGCAGGGACTCGCAGGGTGAAGTCTACACTGTAAGCCCTTCAGGATTTTTGCAAGTTTTCCTTGGTCAAAAATGTTGGCTGAGCAGCAGAATAGCAATATGGGAAGGGTAGGGAAGGGGCTGCAGCTCAGTGGTTAGAGCGCCTGCTTTGCACACAGAAGACCCCAGCTTCGATGCCCAATGGCATTGCCACGTCGGGCTGGGAAGAGACTCACGTGCCTCAGATCTTGGAGAGCTGCTGCCAGTCAGTGCAGGAAATACCAAGCTAGCTGGACCAAGGGTCTGACATAGCGCGAGGCCATTTCCCGTGTTGCTCTTCCTTTCCCACTGGGCTTCGGAAATCTTGCTGCTGGGCTTTAGAATGCCAGGCTGGTGTGCAGGCTGTTAGTATTCCTGCTCCATGATTGCAGTCATGGGATTGTTGTCTCTCACATGACGGTGGATGTTTTGACTCCACAGAGTGGGAAGTGACGGAGACAGGATGTTTCTGCTACTGTGTTCCATGAAGTGGGACTATTGTCTTTTTTCTCTTTGCTGTCTGATGCTAGAGAGAGAGGGAGCCATGTTGCAGCGCTGTGTGTGCGTTTATATGTAAATAAAGGTAGATTAGCCAAAATGCTGAGTTGCTGAGGTCTGTCACGCATGATGCACAAACTCTGTGGATCCCTAAGTGTGCCGGTGTCAGTTGGCATCAGTCGCTGTGATGTTCGGGCAGAAGAAAGCTTTTGAAGCTACCGAACAACTGACCAGGGGGGAGAGAATTTGCCAGTCGGGCATGTGTCTCTGCCAGGGTCCTACTCAAGTGTAGACTGAACTCCTGACTAGAGAGAAACCCAGTGTGGAGTTAGTTGTCAGAGTGTCAGACTAGGCCCCGGGAGACCAGGGTTCGAATCCTGATTTTGCACTGCCGGAATGATGTAAGCGCAGAGATGAGGAGAAGATGCAGTCCCTGCTGAGGAGGAATGGCAGGCAAAATTAATGGACCATGCAGAAATGGCAAAACTTACTGAAAGAATAAGGAAGCAAGAGGAAAGAATTTTTAAAAGAAGAATGGGGAAAATATACAGAGTATTTGAATTATTATTATTATTATTATTATTATTATTATTATTATTATTATTTGGTAAACACTTAACTGCATTAGCAGGACTAATTTAACCCAAGCAGTTACGACTATTAAGCTATTGGGAATGTAGAGGAAAATATTTATAAGGAACGACAGGGGAGATTCAGTAGCGAAAGTGATTTCTGAAGAAATCATGAAGGGAGCGGGGAGGGAATTCAAACTACAGTGGTACCTCGGGTTAAGTACTTAATTCGTTCCGGAGGTCCGTTCTTAACCTGAAACTGTTCTTAACCTGAAGCACCACTTTAGCTAATGGGGCCTCCCGCTGCCACCGCACCGCCGGAGCACGATTTCTGTTCTCATCCTGAAGCAAAGTTCTTAACCTGAAGCACTATTTCTGGGTTAACGGGGTCTGTAACCTGAAGCGTACATTACCTGAAGCGTATGTAACCCGAGGTACCACTGTATGTATGTATTTTGGAAGGGTTTGTTGTTGTTTTTTAAATTGTTTGTTGTAAAAGTGAAAATTGAAAAATAATATATATACAGTGGTGCCTCGCAAGACAAAATTAATTCGTTCCGCGAGTTTTGTCGTCTTGCGATTTTTTTCGTCTTGCGAAGCACGGTGTCGGGAAAGTTTTGGAAAAGCTTCAAAAATCACCAAAGTCTTTAAAAACCTCAAAAAAGGCTACCACACCGCGTGCTATGAGTTGCTCCTCGAAGTCAAGTCGCAACTGTATTAACGGTGTTAAGAAAAAGGAAACAAACTTGCAAGACGTTTCCGTCTTGCGAAGCAAGCCCATAGGGAAAATCGTCTTGCGAAGCAGCTCAAAAAACCAAAAACCCTTTCGTCTAGCGGGTTTTTTGTCTTGCGAGGCATTCGTCTTGCGAGGTACCACTGTATATTTTAAAAAATCAAATATTCACTTCAGGTAAGGGACTCACTTGGGTGACCATGGACCAGTCACAGTTTCTCAGCCTAACCTACCCCTCAGGGTTGTTGTGCAGACAAAATGGGAAGGAAGAGACCTGTGTGTGCCACCTTGACCTCCAAATAGGGTGATAAACGCCGCGAACTAACAAATAAAATGGTTTGCTGCAGTACTTTGGTTTGTGAGGACACGGAACACGAAGGATCTCGTTTCTCTTCTCTCTGGTGGGCTCAGAGCTCCTGAATGAGTAACTGTCTCTTTTCCTGGAATCAGATCCGAGCCTGCGGCTCTGACTCATAGGCATGCGAAGTATTCAAGGAATGCAGGTTGCCGAAAAGCAAGCTGTCATCTCAGCCCACCATCCGGGATCCAGGCAGCAGAACAGCTGGGCTAAATTGGACAACTTCTCAGGGCAAATAGAAGTTCGCAACTAGGTGCCAAGTTCCACTGAAATCCGGTGTCCGTGCAAGAACACATCAGAGCTCTTCCATTCGTCCTAACTGGGTTTGCCGAAAAGGTCCTTGAGAATTAACCCGTTTTTGAAAATGAAAAAAAGCCAAAAAAGAACTGGAAAGATGCAAGCATCCTTTTTCCTCTTTGCAGTAAATATTTGCTGGGCATTCGCTGAAGCGACTCCATTCAAGGAGAGTCGAGAAGCAGAATTCTAAAATAACAAGGATGGTGACTCAGTGTAGCTGCAACACAGATTGTTCCGCAAGTCTCTTGACTGGGCGGAAACGTTTTGCACCCTGAGAAGCAGAGCTTCCAGCAAGAAAACAAAACAAATGTCAAGTTTTTAGCTCTTTGGGTTGCTAAATATCTATTGCACTGCTCTCTGTTCCTCTATATCAGAAGCCGAATACTGCCATCAGTTTTTAATAATAATAATAATAAAGCAGAGACATCACCTTGCCAACAAAGGTCCATATAGTTAAAGCTCTGGTTTTCCCAGTAGTGATGTATGGAAGTGAGAGCTGGACCATAAAGAAGGCTGATTGCCGAAGAATGGATGCTTTTGAATTATGGTGCTGGAGGAGACTCTTGAGAGCCCCATAGACTGCAAGAAGATCAAACGCATCCATTCCTAAGGAAATCAGCCCTGAGTGCTCACTGGAAGGACAGATCCTGAAGCTGAGGCTCCAAGACTTTGGCCACCTCATGAGAAGAGAAGACTCCCTGGAAAAGACCCTGATGTTGGGAAAGATGGAGGGCACAAGGAGAAGGGGACGACAGAGGACAAGATGGTTGGACAGTGTTCTCGAAGCTACCAAGCATGAGTTTGACCAAACTGCGGGAGGCAGTGGAAGACAGGAGTGCCGGGCGTGCTCTGGTCCATGGGGTCACGAAGAGTAGGACACAACTGAACGACTAAACAACAACAACAACTAATAATAATTGAATTTGAATTTCTTATTTCTTCTTTGGCAATCACTCGTAGCTGAGTAAGATTGTCTTCCATGATCACGGTTTTAACAGTGAGTCCGTAAGTGACTGTGGAGGCCAATTCTGGATCCACACATCCTTCCACAGTGGGGACACTGGTTTCTGGGCGGAAGTTGATCATGGTGTGGATTTGCACGTTTCTCTCTTGTGTTCTGAGTTCAAGTGTCTTCAAAGCCCATGACACCTTTGGTAAAGGCTGTTCTCCAACTGGAGCGCTCACAGGCCAGTGTTTCCCAGTTGTCAGTGTTTATACTACATTTCTTTAGATTTGTCTTGAAAGAGTCTTTAAACCTCTTTGGTTAACCACCAGCATTACGCTTTCCATTTTTAAGTTCAGAATAGATTAGTTGCATCCAAACAACATGACCTGTCCAACAAAGTTGATGTTGAAGAATCATTGCTTCAACACTGGTGATCTTTGCTTCTTCCAGTACACTGGCATTCGTTCACCTGTCTTCCCAACTGATGTGTAAAATTTTCGGAGACACCGTTGATGGAATCTTTCAAGGGGTTGGAGATAGCGTTTATTTGAATTTATATGCCACCCCTATGCCCGCAGGTCTTGGAGCAGTTTAACAATTAATAACAACAATTTATGAACAGCAATTAATAACCAGGCCTCTTGGACTCACCTTGACCAGAAGCTCATAGCGTGGAATCCGCTGAACCGGCTTAATCATGAGGTCTGAAAGCGCTTGCTTTTCTTTGTTTTCCCTCATGCTTTGCTGAAAGAACATGAAGATCAGGTTTTGCTTAAAAAAAAAATACTTTTCAGATTTATACATTTCAATAATTTTACAGTCATTTTAACATTTCAAAACTTGACTTCCTTCCCCCTCTCTCTTTCTGCGGTTCCTTGAATTTATTTTTAAATATTTTCTGCATATCCAAATTAACTTCATTTGCTCATTTGCTCATCAACTTTAGGGCCAACTGTTTAAGGTATACTTTTGAAAGTTTTGTGTATAGATTTATACATTTGTATAATCTTTAAAAGTCACTTGTAATAGGATGAAGAAGGTTTTAAAATTGGATTAAGTATACAGTGGTACAGTGGATCCGTCCCGGAGTCCCATTCGCTACATGAGCAGAACGCAACCCGTGGGTCGCGATTTGCCGCTTCTGCGCATGCGCGTGACGTCATTTTGCATGTCTGCGCATGTGCGAGCGGTGAAACCCGGAAGTAACCCTTTCCGGTACTTCCGGGTCGCTGTGGGACGCAACCTGAAAAAACGTATCGTGAAGCAAACCCAACACAAGGTATGACTGTATAAGATTTTATGGATGTGCATGAACAAGTATATTATAACGGAACCAAGAGGGGGAGTGGAGGGAAGTTGACTGACAAAAAATTATGGTTTAATTTGGCAGTGATCCCCCCCGTTTTATTTCATTTTGTTATTTTTTGGAAACCCAATAAAATGTTATATATATAAAAAAGATTTCTGTCCTACCTCCAGGAACTTCATAAACGCTGGCCTGGCTTCCTTGGCGATCCTCACAGCATCTTTGGCGTTGAGGAAGTTATCGATGTAGGCAGAATAAATGTTCACCAGGATGTCTTTGGAAAACTGGGGAAGGAGCGAGACAAAGGCTTCATGAGAAAAGGGGACATTTCCCTCTGAAGTCGTAGAAAGTGGGGAGGTGGGAGAACGCGAAGTGGAGAATTTCAGCCCCTGGGGATTATCACTTTTCAAACAAGCAAACATGAATTCGCATTGCTGATTGGCCAAGATGTATAAGAATAGTTCAGAGGTCAGCTGGAGGTGTAAAAATGGGGTAGGTACTTTTATGCACATGTGGTGAGATGGTAAGAGAATAAGAGAATTTTGGGACACTATATACAATGAACTTAAAAAGGTATTCAAACTCTCATTCACAAAAAAAATTGCCGAGGCCTTCCTATTAGGAATTACATCCATGGAAATGAAGAAAAATCTTAGATCACTTTTTATGTACGCGACCACAGCGGCTAGGATTTTCATAGCAAAGAACTGGAAAAGTGACAACATCCCCGCAGAAACTGACCGGCAAGCAAAAACGATAGAATATTTACAACTCGCAAGGATGACAGGGAGATTTAAGAGGAGATTCAGTACAGAAAGTTAATGAAAGATTGGATAATGTTTAAAGATTATCTTAAAAACTATTGTGATAATGGTAAACTCCTGGCACACTTAGAATGAATCTTGAAAGACAGAGACAGTATATAAAAGAATATTCTGGATAAGAAACGGGAAAGTTAAAAAATAATAATGAACTGTGGACACATGAACAAAATGTAAAATAGTACAATGAGAGGAACCGGAAGTTGGAATGTAAAAAAGTGAAAAGCTTCTGGGAAATGATATATAATGAGATGAAAAAAATGTTGAAATATACATTCATAAAGAAACTAGAAGCATTTTTACTGGGCATGGTAGGAAGTGATATAAATAGAAAAGAATGTAAGCTGTTTTTATATGCAGTGACGGCAGCAAGAATATTATTGGCACAAAAATGGAAGCAAGAAGAATTACCGACGAAAGAAGAATGGAGGATGAAATTAATGGACTATGCAGAATTAGACAAACTAACAGGAAGGATTCGAAATCGGCGGGACCAGAAATTCACAGAAGACTGGTGTAAATTTACAGTTTATTTGAAAAGTAATAGTGATGTTCAAACTACGTTTGTAGGTTTGCAAGAAGTTTGGTGAGGTGAATTATTGGAACTATTGCAAAAATGGATAAAGGGGAGGATGGTTAGTTAAGATAATTAAAGGCAATATGAATTTAAGAAATGCATAAGAAGTGGTTAAAACGGGGGATCATCAGAGGTGATGGGAGTAAAAAAAAAAGATTGTATAAGTGGTTTGTGGTATGTATTATAATTCATATGTTAAAATTAATAAAAATTATTATATAAAAAAAGAGAAGAACCGGAAGTTAAAATAAAAAATTATTAATTAATAAAATAAAATATGCCAGAAAACCCTGCATCCTTTGGGCTAAGTAACCCAGGAAAGCCAGATTTCCATCTCGAATACCAGCTCCTTGATCAGAGGTTGTGTGTGCCAGAGGTTGTGTGTGTGCGTGTTGTCGGAAAAACCGAACTCACAGACTTCACCAGGATGTCCCCCACTTTCTGCTTCTCGCTCCAGCTCTGCACGCACTCGCTGATCTGCTCCAGGAACTCCTCGTGGTGATCCAGCAGCTCAGGGATCTGATCAAAGATCTCGTCCACCAGGGCAGGATCGCAGAGGATGGCGTTTTCCGGCAGCTTCAAGGGCTTCATGTAACCCTGGAAAGGGAAGGAGAGACGGAAGAGCAGACATTTAGGAGACAGGAAGATGGCCGATACCAAGACCCATCCAATTCAATACCGACTGATTGATTGATTGATTGTATTTTTACGCTGCTTTTCATTCAAATGAATCTCAAAGCGGCTTACAACAGATAAACAACCATAACGTAATAAAACATAATAGCACATCGTGAATACAGCATATGTCGTATGAAAAAATTAACAGATTTTCAATGAAACAGTTGCAGTCTATAAAAAAAATCTTAACAAAACAGCAACTAAAAAATAAGCTAGACCTCACAATTATTGGCAAGTCGTGCAATTAACAAATCAACGCAGCATTTAGAATCTCTAAAACAATATTAAAAACATTATCAAAACTGCAACTAAAAATATAAGCTGAGCGCTGAGTTCATTCACACAATCTCTGCAGCCCTCATGACTCATAAGCTTTCACTCTGTTCAGTTCATTAAAATACACATAAATGCACATATGTGAGAGTCCCATGGACTGCAAGAAGATCAGACCTCTCCATTCTTAAGGAAACCACCCCTGAGTGCTCCCTGGAAAAGCAATGACAAACCTAGACAGCATCTTAAAAAGCAGAGACATCACCTTGCCGACAAAGGTCTGTATAGTTAAAAGTATGGTTTTCCCAGTAGTGATGTATGGAAGTGAGAGCTGGACCATAAAGAAGCCTGATCGCCGAAGAATGGATGCTTTTGAATTCTGGTGCTGGAGGAGACTCTTAAGAGTCCCATGGACTGCAAGAAGATCAAACCTATCCATTCTGAAGGAAATCAGCCCCGAGTGCTCACTGGAAGGACAGATCTTGAAGCTGAGGCTCCAGTACTTTGGCCACCTCCTGAGAAGAGAAGATTCCCCGGAAAAAAAAGACCCTGATGTTGGGAAAGATGGAGGGCACAAGGAGAAGGGGACAACAGAGGACGAGATGGTTGGACAGTGTTCTCGAAGCTACCAGCATGAGTTTGACCAAACTGCGGGAGGCAGTGGAAGACAGGAGTGCGTGGCGTGCTCTGGTCCAGGGGGTCACGAAGAGTCGGACACGACTAAACGACCAAACAACAACAACAATCCAGCTCAGCCAGATGCTGGTTTGTGATGCAGAATATGCTGGTATATATGCGCGCACACACACACCTCTTCTTCAAGTGGGTGACATCCAGATTTTTTGGACTACAACACCCATCTGCCCCAGCCTAGCGTGGCTGGTGGGAGCTGCTCCCCAAAACGTATGGAGGGCACCAGGTTGGGGAAGCAGCTCTCCAGAGTCCAAGGCAGAAAAGTCTCCTTTCCATCACCTGCTACTTTTCCCTAGAGATGCTCTGTTTTGCCTAGGACCTCTTGCAAGCAAAGGAGATCCTCTGCCATTGAGCTGGTGTCAGCACTGAAGAGGCGAGCAGTCGAGTTAACGTTTTACTCAAAAATACAGGCTACAAGCAGAGAGTTCTCAGGACAGGACCGGCCCCTATAACACTGACAGCCCTTGCATCCCTATTCTCTCTCAGCCAGAAGTTGCCCAAGCAGGAATTCACACTCTTTGTTCTGCCAGATGCAAAGCTTTCTGAGTCCTTCGCTACAAGGGTGGAGGGGAGCCTAATACAGATTGAGGTTGAATCCTGACAAGACAGAAGTAGTGTTTTTCGGGGACAGGAAATGGGTGGGTGTGGAGGACTCCCTGGTCCTGAATGGGGTAACTGTGCCCCTGAAGGACCAGGTGCGCAGCCTGGGAGTCATTTTGGACTCACAGCTGTCCATGGAGGCACAGGTCAAATCTGTATCCAGGGCAGCTGTTTACCAGCTCCATCTGGTACGTAGGCTGAGACCCTATCTGCCTGCAGACTGTCTCGCCAGAGTGGTGCATGCTCTGGTTATCTCCCGCTTGGACTACTGCAATGCGCTCTATGTGGGGCTACCTTTGAAGGTGACCCGGAAGCTACAACTAAACCAGAATGCAAACAAAACATTCCTTCCAGTAGCACCGTAGAGACCAACTAAGTTTGTTATTGGTATGAGATTTTGTGTGCATGCACACTTCTTCAGATACTACTTAGTGCATGCACATGAAAGCTCATACCAATAACAAACTTCGTTAGTCTCTAAGGTGCTGCTGGAAGGAACTGTTTGTTTGTTTGGACTACGGCAGACCAACACGGCTACCTACCTGTAACTAGAACAAGTAAGCAAGTAAGACAATTATGGTTAAAGCCCAAATCTTTGAATTATAGACCCTCGAAGCTGAAGTTACAACCTACAACTAAAGTTAGGCCAGCTTCAAACCATGGTTTATGTTACAGTGGTACCTCAGGTTAAGTACTTAATTTGTTCCAGAGGTCAGTTCTTAACCTGAAACTGTTATTAACCTGAAGCACCACTTTAGCTAATGGGGCCTCCTGCTGTTGCCGGATAAGAACAGAAACTGCTAGATTCTGTTCTTATCCTGAAGCAAACTTCTTAACCTGAAGCACTACTTCTGGGTTAGCGGAGTCTGTAACCTGAAGCGTATGTAACCCGAGGTACCACTGTATTGGCTTGTTTCCCTAAACCATAGTTAAGCCTAAACCACATTTTAAGGTTAGCACGTAATGACACACTGATGAAACACGGTATAGACAATTAACAAATCATAATAATAAGTGATCAAAAATAGAAATGAAAGCGGAGAGGGACATTGGGTGCACGTTAAGCTAACCCACAGTTTAGTGTCACATTGGAAAGAGACCAAAATCTGGGTTGCTTCCACTGCAGCTATATAACTTTCCAAAGGTAGAGGAAACGTTCCGCATCTCGTAGGTATTTAAAAAGCTAATCAAAACTGGATTGCTCCTTTTGCTGCCCTTGTCTCCCCTCTTCAAAGATGTCATCTCTGAATGAGTCATGAGCATTTCCAGGAATTTCACTGTGCCGTATTAAAGGCTCCTGAGCTGTAATTATCTTCCCCTGTCCTTCAAGCCCACAATGCAGCTGCTCTCTCTAGCTCTCCTCTTCCGCCAGTCGATGGGTTTGCCTTTGTGACATCCAATTTAAGCCTCCTTGTCCCCTGCTTAAATAAAAGCCTGGCACCACAAAGGTTGGCACGCCCTGTCCCGAGGCTTTCCGATGACGACGACGCAGAATTGTGCATAAGCGCAACTTTGAGCAAATGCCGCCGATCCAGGCTATTGACAGTGAGAATCAGACACCCAAAGAGTGAAAACCAGGACCTTATTCTCTGTCCCTGCTAGGCCTGGGCTAGATATATCCATATACAGTCCTACCTCGGGTTACAGACGCCTTCAGGTTGCGTTTTTTTGGGTTAAAGGTAAAGGGACCCCTGACCATTAGGTCCAGTTGTGGCCAACTCTGGGGGTGCGGCGCTCATCTCGCTTTACTGGCCGAGGGAGCCGGCGTACAGCTTCCGGGTCATGTGGCCAGCAGGACTAAGCCGCTTCTGGCGAACCAGAGCAGCGCACGGAAACGCCATTTACCTTCCCTGCCAGAGCGGTACCTATTTATCTACTTGCACTTTGACGTGCTTTTAAACTGCTAGGTTGGCAGGAGCAGGGACTGAGCAACAGGAGCTCACCCCTTTGCGGGGATTCGAACCGCTGACCTTCTGATCGGCAAGTCCTAGGCTCAGTGGTTTAACCCACAGCACCACCACCAAAACCCGGAAGTACGAGAATGGGTTACTTCTGGGTTTCGGCAGTTGCACGTGCACATAAGCGCTAAATCGCTTTTTGCGCATGCGCAGAAGCGCCGAATCATGACCCGCGTGTGCGCAGACGCGCCGCTGCAGGTTGTGGACGCTGCGGGTTGTGACGTGCATCCCGCACGGATCACGTTCTCAACCCGAGCGTCCACTGTATCGCCCAGGACTGGTGCAAGGGGCAGACTGCGATGATGGCTTTGCTTAACGGTATATCGCTGGCGAGACTGCCATTTCATGAGTCCCTCTGGTCCCAGCGCCCAGCACAGTGAGTGGAAAAACAAGCTGGAGGCAGAGGGACTCTGGAGCAGTGGCGGTTTCGCCAGCGATATACCGCTGAGTGGAACCGCCATTGCGTTCCGCCCTCATACTGCTGCAGAGTGAGAAACAAGCTGCGTTGGCGAGGTGCCGATAGAGGTTGTTCTTCCCTCTGCTTTAACAAGCCCAATGTCCCTCCAGATTGAGCACGCTGGAGGGATGTGGGGCTTGCTGGAACAGGTGAGCCACTGGCTTGACCAGGGGTCAGCATACTTTTTCAGGAGGGGGCCAGTCCACTGTCCCTCAGACCTTGTGGGGGCCAGACTATATTTTGAAAAAAGAAGAACAAATTCCAGTGCCCCACAAATAACCCAGAGATGCATTTTAAATAAAAGCACACATTCTACTCATGTAAAAACACGCTGATTCCCAGACCGTCCATGGGCTGGATTTAGAAGGCGATTGGGCCGGATCCGGCCCCCAGGCCTTAGTTTGCCTACTCATGGGCTTGATCTTACCCTATAGGAAGCTGCCTTATTCTGAGTCAGAACATGGGGACATTTGACTCAGTTTTGTCTACACTGACTGGCAATTGTTCTCCAGGGTTTTGGGAAGGGAGACCCTCCCTCCCTTATCTGGAGCTGCTGGGGACTGAACCTGGGACCCTCTTCGTGGAAGGCAGATGCTCTACCTCTGAGCCACAACCCCACAACCCTTCCTCGATGGAGTACAATGGAGGGCAATGCGGTAGCTAGACTGGTGACTGGGAGCAGCTGCCGAGACCACATAACACCGGTCCTGAAAGACCTACACTGGCCCCCAGTATGTTTCCGAGCACAATTCAAAGTGTTGGTGCTGACCTTGAAAGCCCTAAACGGCCTTGGCCCAGTAGACCTGAAGGAGTGTCTCCACCCCCATCGTCCAGCCCGGACACTGAGGTCCAGCTCCAAAGGCCTTCTGGCGGTTCCCTCCCTGCAAGAAGTGAGGTTACAGGGAAGCAGGCAGAGGGCCTTCTCAGTAGTGGCGCCCGCCCTGTGGAACGCCCTCCCATCAGATGTGAAGGAAATAAGCAACTATCTGACTTTTAGAAGACGTCTGAAGGCAGCCCTGTTTAGGGAAGTTTTTAATGTTTGATGTTTTATTTGTGTGTTTTTTTTAATGTTCTGTTGGAAGCTGCCCAGAGTGGCTGGGGAAACCCAGCCGGATGGGCGGGGTATAAATAATAAATTATTATATTATTATTATGGTTTACAGATGAAAAGGACTCAGAGCATTAAATAAAAAGTCTTATTGCACAAAGGAGGTGGAGAGAGCCTGGCATTCGGAAATGGCAAAGAGCTGCGGCTGACAAGTCTGTTTTCCGTGAATTAGAGACTCGAAGCAGAGGGCGAAGGGTACGAAAATAACCCTCCAATTTTCACACTTGAGAGTTGTCGTGCGTGGGAAGGATTTATTGTACGCGGACCAAAAGGGAGGGGAAACAGCTAAGGGCTCCCCATTTGGACAATGGAAAAGGCAGAAATAGATTCCCGTGGAATCAAGACTGCTGCAGGCAGAAGGAAGACTCATATTGGTGCCTCACAGCAAAGTCACACCTGCAAATGAATCGTGGGGAGGCAGGTCGTCTCGGTCAGACAGCATTTGCGCACACACACACACACACACACACACACACACTTCAAAGGGGGAATAAACCTGAATGCAAGTTCCCTGACAACTTGCTCCCCAGCGCCGTCATCCCTGGTGCTCTGCTCTCGAGCCCCGGATCCCGTGGCAACGGGATGCAGTTGCCACGGAGACGAGCGCAGGCTGGGTTTGGGCTGACAAAAGCTTCCCAGTGCCCGGCGTGGGTCGCTCTGCCGCATTAGGAATGCACAGGTCTTGTTTCCGGCAGCCCTGCTAAGGCGGTGCAGCCGAGCAAGGAGTCGCAAGGGAGAGAAGGGTGCGCTTCTTGGTTACAGAGAAACTCCTGGGCATCGCTCTGCCAAACGTGCTCAGAAATCCCCACCAGACCTTGCTGCGGGTAGACCGGGCACCCCTGTCCGTATTGCTACTTTGACTTTTAAAAGACATCTGAAGGCAGCCCTGTTTAGGGAAGCTTTTAATGTCTGATGCATTACTGTATTTTAATATTGTGTTGGAAGCCGCCCAGAGTGGCTGGGGAAGCCCAGCCAGATGGGCAGGGTATAAATAATAAATAATTATTATTAATACTACTACCACTATTCCTGGGACACGGGTGGCGCTGTGGGTTAAACCACAGAGCCTAAGACTTGCTGATCAGAAGGTCGGCGGTTCGAATCCCCGCGATGGGGCGAGCTCCCGTTGCTCAGTCCCTGCTCCTGCCAACCTAGCAGTTCGAAAGCATGCCAAAGTGCAAGTAGATAAATAGGTACCGCTCCGGCGGGAAGGTAAACAGCGTTTCCGTGCGCTGCTCAAAGCGAGATGAGCGCCACAACCCCAGAGTCGGCCACGACTGGACCTAATGGTCAGGGGTCCATTTACCTTTACTACTACTCCTAATATCAATGATTAATAACTTCCCCGAACAGAGCTGCCTTCAGATGTCTTCTAAAAGTAAGAACATCCTTGCAGAATCAGGCCAAACACACCCAGTTCCTACAACCTTCCCTCATCGGACTTTATAATATTATTATTATTATTATCATCGTCATCAAGTCTTACTGACTAGTGATTTAAATCGAATCCACCCTGGCTTGCAGGCCACGCGAAGCCAAGCATCTTGGCTTGTTGTCCTCACTTGAACTCCTGCACTGCAGGGGGTTGGACTAGATGACCCCTGGGGTCCCCTTGGGGGTCTTTGAGCAAAATGGAGCCATCTGGCAGCAGGCACTAGAACGGTGCTCATTCCCAGCTCACCGTAACTTCCAAAAGAGGTCCATTATCACGGTTGTTTCAATACTCCCCAAGGTGGCGTACCCGGTTCTCCCCCTCTCACAACAACCCTGCGAGGTAATCAAGCGGAGAGGAGACCATGACTGGCCCGAGGTCATCCACCCAGGGAGCTTTATGGCCGAGTGGGAATTTGAACCCGAGTCTCCTGGGACCTGGTCCATCCCCTACACCACACTGCCTTTCTGCAACCAAACATCAAACGCAGGGAAAAATGCAGGTGGGATAAGCAACACAAAGGTTTAACAAGGAAACTTGGTACAGTGGTACCTTGGTTCTCAAACGCCTTGGTTCCCAAACAACTTGGAACCCAAACACTGCAAACCCGGAAGTTTTCTGGTTTGTGAACTTTTTTTTCAGAAGCCGAACATGCTGCATTTTGAGTGTTTTCAGTGCCACACTTCCGTTTTGAGTGTTACGCTGAGGTCTGTCTGTTTTTGCTGTTTATTTTGCGTTTTTGTGGCTCTTTTTTGTGTGTGTGACTGTGTGGAACGCAGTTCAGCTACTGACTGATTGATTGATTGTGCGACTGCAGTACATTGTTTATTGCTTTCATTTTTATGGATCAATGGTCTCATTAGATAGTAAAATCCATGTTAAATTGCTGTTTTAGGGGTTGTTTGTAAAAGTCTGGAATGGATTAATCCATTTTGCATTACTTTCTATGGGAAAGTGCGCCTTGGTTTTGGAACGCTTTGGTTTTGGAACGGACTTCCAGAACGGATTACGTTTGAGAACCAAGGGACCACTGTACTGTGACTGCCAGTCACAAGACGGTAGTGAGAATGCCGTGTGCAAGTTATAGCGTGCAAATTATGGGCATGGGGGATTTTTTATTTTAGATGCTACCCTCCTAAAACTCAAAGGATGTTGAACATGGGCCACATTCAGGCCATGCATTTAAAGCAACATGATACCACTTTAGAGAAGAAAAACAGCACGGGCATATTTGACCAGTGCAGAGTTTGACCGGAGCTCGAGGTCCCTGGCCTCTGCTCCCACGTGGGTCAGTTACCTGCATCAGGGTCCGCAGCGACTCCACGTACGACTGTTCCGTGTCCAGGAGTGTCATAATCACGTGTTTCCGCATATCCTGCAAAAAAGAGAGGCAGAGAGAGGTGCTTGAGTTTCCTGGAGGTAAAAACAAGAGCTTAAGAAACAAGTGCCCCGGTTTATCCTTTTCCTTCTCCCTCCCAACGTCTTTTGTGTCGTGACTTCGTCAGATTATAAGACCAATGGCAGGAAGCGTCTTATCGCCGACACTTATGAGTTGCTTTTGCAGCGTTCTCTGGGCTGAAAAGCAGGACAAAAAACGCGTTTGGCAAATAACCACCATGAAGGGTTTGTGCTGGGTGCAAACACAGCCTAGAATCAAACGGAACAGGCTACATTGAGCACCAACATCTTCAATACCCAACCCCCCCCCAAAAAAATCCCTGCTTCTCTGACTGCTCAGATCTGCAACATCTTTCTGATGTTGGGAAAGATGGAGGGCACAAGGAGAACATCCCTGATGTTGGGAAATATGGAGGGCACAAGGAGAAGGGGACGACAGCGGACGAGATGGTTGGGACAGTGTTCTCGAAGCTACCAGCATGAGTTTGACCAAACTGCGGGAGGCAGTGGAAGACAGGAGTGCCTGGCGTGCTCTGGTCCATGGGGATCACGAAGACTCGGACACGATTAAACGACTAAACAACAACAACATTGCGGCTCCAGGAGGGTAATGTATGGGAGAATTCTTTTGCAAAACCACCCTCTTTCTAGCTAGGTGCTTTCTGTTCCTCTCCTCTTTCCTCTTAATTTTCCAAAAAAAGCTATGCAGCAACCCAATATAAGTTCTTTGCAAAATCACAAAAACCCGCTGCCATCCGTTGCAGAAATCAAGAGGTCATCAGACGAGATCTTAGATCTCAGAGAAAGCAGATCAGATCTTGAGCACGGTTCCCAAGGACCCACAGTCCCGCCATCCTCTCCCCCGAACACACAAAAGGGCCAGGAGTGGGGCATGTTTGTACATTTCCACTTGGCTGTCGCAGCCCAGTTCCCCTCCCACGCCCATTGTAACATAAAAAGGGTAAAGCACTTGCTTTGAGCGCAGACATTCTCTGGTTCAATCTCCCAACAGCATCTCCAAGCAAGCTGGAGAACTTGCCTTGTTGGAAATTCTGGAGAGCTGCTGCCAGTCAGTGAAGGAATACTAATCTAAATGGACCAACACATCCTTCCCTCAGTACAAGGCAACTTTCTGGTTTCCACATGTTGAGCAGAAGGAGGGTATAGGGCGGAAATCTGGGCTGCACCAGAGCGGGTGGAAGGGTTGGTGCTGACGTTTTTTAATTCCCTCATGCCAGGGAGATAATAATAATAATAAGTAATAATAATGATGATGATGATGATGATGATGTGGTACCTTGGGTTAAGAACTTAATTCGTTCTAGACGTCCGTTGTTAACCTGAAACTGTTCTTAACCTGAAGTACCACTTTAGCTAATGGGGCCTCCCACTACAGCCATGCAATTTCTGTTCTCATCCTGAAGCAAAGTTCTTAACCTAGGGTACTATTTCTGGGTTAGCGGACTCTGTAACTTGAAGTGTCTGCAACCCGAGGTACAATAATAATAATAATAATAATAATAATAATAATAATAATAATAATAATAATAATTTATACACCCACCCCCCATCTGGCCAGGTTTCCCCAGCCACTCTGGGCAGCTTCCAACAAAAGATTAAAAATACATTAAAACATCAGTCATTAAACACTTCCCTAAACAAGGCTGAAAACAAGAAAAACCTCCTTGAATGATGCAAGCTAGCATGTCAGGGAGAGGGCGACGCCAAGCCTTTCTCCCTGATGAGCTTGCTTGCCAAATGCAAGTCGTTCATTTTAAGATGCGGGGTAGCGTTCAAAAAACATGTTTGCAGTCTGAAATAGTTCAGCCCAGAGCTCTGCCACCACATTGGGCGCGGCAGGTAGCCTGGGTCTTAAGGTTTCTATGGGGGGGGGCCGCAAACTCACAAGGAACCACCGACTCACAAATTACAGTGGAACCTCGACTTGCGTACGGCTCTACTTACGTACGATTCCAGTTACGACCTTCAGTAGGTACTTGACTTATGAACTTTCGTCTAGATACGAGTTTGGATACTAGATACTGGAGTTTGGACAGCCGGCTGCAGGGAAGCACTGGGGCCTCTGCCGCCGGGGAGAGTGCCCCCATTCCACCCCTGAAGCTGTGGAAGAGTAAGTTTTTTCCCCATCTACAATACTGTCATATTTATTTTATATTACAGTGCACTGATTCTTAGGGGCGTGGGTGGTGCTGTGGTCTAAACCACAGAGCCTAGGGCTTGCCAATCAGAAGGTCAGCGGTTCGAATCCCCACAACGAGATAAGCTCCTGTTGCTCGGTCCCTGCTCCTGCCCACCTAGCAGTTCGAAAGCACATCAAAGTGCAAGTAGATAAATAGGTACCACTCCGGCGGGAAGGTAAACGGCGTTTCCGTGCGCTGCTCTGGTTCGCTAGAAGCGGCTTAGTCATGCTGGCCACATGACCCGGAAGCTGTACGCAGGCTCCCTCGGCCAGTAAAGCGAAATGAGCATCGCAACCCCAGAGTCGGCCACGACTGGACCTAGTGGTCAGGGGTCCCTTTACCTTTACCTTGATTATTGCCTTCATTTTATGGATCTATGGTCTAATTAGACAGTAAAATCCGTGTTAAATTGCTGTTTTAGGGGGTGTTTTTCATTGTCTAGAATGGATCAATTCGCTTTCCCATTACAGTGGTACCTCAGGTTAAGTACTTAATTCATTCTGGAGGTCCATTCTTAACCTGAAACTGTTCTTAACCTGAGGTACCATTTTAGCTAATGGGGCCTCCCGTTGCCACCGCGTGATTTCTGTTCTCATCCTGAAGCAAAGTTCTTAACCCAAGGTACTATTTCTGGGTTAGTGGAGTCTGTAACCTGAAGCGTCTGTAACCTGAAGCGTCTGTAACCTGAGGTACCACTGTACTTTCTATGGACAAGTGAGCCTCTACTTATGTACGTTTCTAGTTATGACCGGACCTCCGGAACCGATTATGGTTTTAAGTAGAGGTTCCACTTGTAATAGAGGGGGCACAGGAAGAGGAGAGCTCTCCCACGCAGTTGAACTCCAGTCCCAATCCGCATGGATGCCAGGAGGAACGTCCCTCTCACGCCAACAAGCAGTTTGAGAAGATGAAGAGGAGCTTAAGAAGACATGGAGAGGAAGTGAAGACGAGCCTTCTGGATCAGTCCCATGGATCATCTAATCCACCATGCCCCCCCATGCCAACCAGATGCCTCTTTGGCGAAAGCCGCAAGCAGGATTTGAGCACTAGGGCACGCTCCCATCCTGCAGTTCCCAGCTTTAACTGGGATTGCCGCAAGAGTGGCAATCTCCAGCGGGTGCAGAATGCTGCAGCGAGGCTCCTCACGGGGTCTCTGCCATGGGAGCATATTCACCCAGTGCTTTTCCAGCTGCACTGGCTCCCAGTGGAGTACAGGGTCAGGTTTAAGGTGCTGGTTTTGACCTTTATTTTTTTTTTAAATCATATTTATTGAAATTTTCAGCAAACAGAAAGTAAAGATAAGACAAAAACAGAATGCATTTAAAACCTTATTTTCATTATCCACTTTCTGGGACTCCCCCCCTCCCCCATCCCTGCCATATTCCCCTTTCATATCGTTAGCTCAACAAGCTCTCCCTCCTAATTTAAACTTAATTTGTTTAGCCCAATACAGTGGTGCCCCGCAAGACGAAATTAATTCGTTCCGCAATTTTTGTCGTGTAGCGAATTTTTCGTCTTGCGAAGCACGAAATCCCATAGGAATGCATTGAAAATCAATTAATGCGTTCCTATGGTCAAAAAAAGCCCAAACAAAGCCAAATTTGGTACAACAACAGTTTATTAACTGCTCTTTAAAGTCACACATACTGTAAAGAGCAGTTCAAAAACTGAAGGGAAAATAAATTAACTTTATAAACAAAACATGTCTTTGTTTTTAGACAAAGAAAACAAAGTCGCGAGACGTTTTCGTCTTGCGAAGCAAGCCCATAGGGGAAATTCGTCTTGCGAGGCAAATCGAAAACGGAAAAACCTTTCGTCTAGCGTGTTTTTTGTCTTGCGAGGCATTCGTCTTGCGAGGTACCACTGTATTCGAATTTAAGCTTATACAGTCCTCATCATTACCCTTGATAAAAAACAAAAATTCTCTCCCCAAGGTCCCCCCCAATTTCCTTCCACGAATTCCCTTTTTTTTTAAATAAAAACACCCAGCAAAATATATAAAGAAAAACAATATAAAGATATAAAAAGATAAAAAGTATATAGAAAAAAGAATTCAAAAAGTAGTTGCAAGCCTTTGGATTCTAGTTCTCCCCCCCCCTTCCCCGGTTTGAGTTCCCCCTGTCCACCAATCTATGTTGTCTGCCTGGAATTCTTAAATCCATAATCAGATTTTTCCCCCAGTCCCTTGCCAGTCTTTTTTTTTTTTTAAGTTTAAAGTTATTTTTATATTATTTAACTTCAAATCTCCAATCTTTGGTCTTTAAGGCTCCCCCCATTGTTCTTTCCATGTTGTAGTCCAGTTTCATCTTGTTCCGCTGCTAAGACGTTCTAATTCAGAAATTTAGTAACTCTACAGGGGATTTTGTTATTCAGGAACAAAAACTTGCGTTCAGTCCCTTCCTTTCTTCAATACAGAATTCTATTGTCTCCTTTAATGTAAACACCCCTGTAGACATAATTTGCAGCTTTCCCAGAAGATAACCAGTCCTGTAAAATTCCGAAGGTATTTTTCCACTTACGACCATCTTTGTAATGTCCCAAAACTCCTCTAGGGGGATTGTTATAACTTTGTTTCCTCTAGTCCAAAAGTCTGGTTGTTGTTCAATGTTTTCGCCATTTTGTATCCGAATCTTAGCAAATTGTAGCAAATTTAACCAGCAAAGTCCTCAAAACAGAGTCCTCTTTAAATTTTTCCGGCTTTGACAGCTACTTTGACAGCTGTCAAAGTCTCCGTCTCTTCACCAGGCTCTCTCTCCAATCGCCCCGGTTCCCGGGG